GGCTCGGTAGGGACTGCTTTGTCACATCAGGCTCTGTACTTGTCCAAAAAGACGAAGTTTCACCTTGATGACAGGAAGTGACATCCCCAGCGCCCTTCGCGTCCTGATGGAGGCTTTCTCTGTCAGCGCGGTGCAAACACGGGGACAGGTTCTCACTCACCTTGAAAACATCTCCGTAGGTGCCGCACCCAATCCTGTGGATTAGCTCGTAGTCATCCAGCGGGTCCAGGAATGACACTCCTATCCGGTCCATGTCTGGAGACACCTCTTGCTGCTGCGGGGAGCCTGGCTGGCTTTTTACTCACACATAGCCGCCGCTGATATCGGCGGAGAGAACGGAAGCACGGGCAGACGAACTCTGTGAAATGGCCCGGGGACGACTGATCGGAACCGGCTAATTATACCGTTTAGGCAGGCAGAGGCAGCGCGGTGACACAACCAAGAGCCGCTCGAGTCAGAGCACGCGTGAGCGAGCACGGTCCCCTCAGTAAGCCTCCCACCTCTGCGCGCTCCTGCGCCCTCAGATGAACATCCTTTTCAAACGTGGCAAAATCACGTCTGAAATAAACCCTTGGCACGAACACGCTTAAAGGCGTGATTTGCCAGCTCTACGAGAAAAGCCCGTCAGGCTTGTTTTAAAGTTTGACTTCACTTAGTTTCCGCTTAGAGTTCTTCATACGTGTGACTTTCCCTCATCGCAATCTGGACCTGAAAATACTGACGACTCAACTGTTCAGATGGCAATTTCAAAAGTAGCGCATGCTCACTGATGAGGTGAACATTTCTGGCTCCTGTCTCAGTGTTTACTGTTTAACTGTAACACTGACTTCATGCATGTGTGGTTACATGAACATCCTCCATCACGTGGGGAAGCAGGAGGCTTTCAGCAGACTTCCAAACATGAAGAATATTTTTATTCCTTCTGAAGTATGAAAACACATAACTGTAAATTATCACTTAACTCAGCATTTTACAAGGTCTGACTTTGGCCTTTTGCAGACATTAGCTTAGCATGTTATGAACTCGAAAAATATTTAGTGACACTACTACTTCATAGTAGTGAGGCCATGCAGTCTGTGCCTTTTCTGTTTTGAGTAGATATGACGTGGAGTTTGTGTCGTCTCTGGAAGATCATGGTGAGGAAGGCGAGCCACTAACGTCCTGCATGATGTACCAGAAGAT